CGAACTCAAGATTTAGCCTAAAGCAGGTCGCACACCAGAAGCGCCGCCACGCAGCGCCATGCATTTTAGAATTCTAAACATAGGTTTCTATCAGGATACACACACCGGCGTCGCAAGTCAGTGGCTGTCAGCGGCGCCTGGCCACAGCTCAGGACGCAGTTCATTTTTCCGCCGCGCCACAGAGCACCGTCTGATTAGTTTCATGTTAAATATCATTGGAATGTGCGCGTCTGGTGTGCGATACTTTAAACTGTCATGTGCGTGCCGTGTCGCGGCGCTGAGCGGCGCCTTTGGTGTACGACCTGCTTGAGAGTTAGCCTGCCCCAGACCAGACTAGTTATCCAGCATAAGTTGCCAGTAGGTTTGGGTTGATAGTCGATGCCATCGTCCATTGCCGATGGCCAATAGACAGCACCGCTGAGCTGGCATCGCCGATCCTCCGCCCCACCCCCGTCGCAAACCCGCATGCGAAAAATATGTTCTATATATAATAATATATATATAATAATATAATGTTTTACCCAGCATTTCTGAACAGCGCTCCTTCCGGCTAAAAACGCTCGTCATGTGACCACACACACAGCCAGCCACACACAGACACTGTCATACGCTCGTAGCTCCAGAGAGCAGTGCACGTCGGACAGTTTATCAAGGATGTACTGCTGGATCGCGTCTCACTATAGTTGTTAAACGTGATATTTAATTGATCTTGTCTCTATCTGACGACTGTTTGGCCTTGTGAATCTATCAGGTAACGTATCACAGCATCAGTACACTGCTTCAGTCTTTCGCTTTCACACTTGTACTTAGTCATTTTAGTGAAAACCTCAGATACTGTTGGTTGTGCACCTTTTTTACCGACCAACCTCCTGTGGAAAAAGTGATCGACAGGTGGTAATTTGTGTGCAACTTATCTTGATTTGTCTATGATTTGTTTATGGGTAAAACATAAACAAAAAAGATCATGCGGGTCAGGTAGTTCAATCGGTAGGCTACAAATAATTAATTTGTTATGAATCAATTAATTATTCATAAATAATTAATTCACCTCCTCCTATATATGACAACGATGTAATCGTCCATCGCAGTGTTTCACATTAGACATCGTACAATGGCAAATTGGTCGACATCGCCCAACCCTAGTTGCCAAGTTTGAACTATTGCAAATTTGATTTATAAAAACCAAATCCACCATTAATAAACCTGACTTACCAAAATAAGCCTGGCTTTTTCTGTAAGCTTGGTTTAAGGAACAGCCCCCAGAACTGCCTCAGCTATGTCTGTTTGCAATCATGGGGACATAGGCCAGGTGTGTGAGTGGTGCATGACTGAATATGTAGTTCTTTTGCTGGCAGATTTGTAGCTCTCCAGCGCTCTGCTTGTTTAACAGCCATCTGCACAGGCTGGATCGGTGGTGATTGTGACAATATCACACAGCTGAATTTATTTATTGTGACAGGCCTGGAATAATGTCTGCGCTGCGGCACACAGATGCTGCACTCAACACTCAAACCTGCTTATTGTTAAGCATTAGAGTGTGTTTTTAAGGTGGGGTAGAAATGTGACATGGTGGGAACGAGATTGTTCACTGTTCTAAAAACAAAAAACAAAGATTACACAACCTATAAAGGACTTTTGTTTCACTGTTGACCTTTAGTTCACTTAGTATTTCTTAAATATTTAATGACATAAACAAGGTTTGTGAAGTTTTCCATCAACGACTCTATGTTAAAGTTCTCTATAAACTGATGATAGTTTTCATGTCATGCATGTGGGCGTATAAATGTCAATTAAATATTAATATATTTATTTTTTTGTCTTACTAAAACTTTTATGATGCATGTTTTAATATAGTCTGTACAAAAGATTTTCATGTTTGAGAATGTGTTCACCATTTTAGTCTTTCTAATTCGATTACACTTTTTATTTCACTTTTATTAAATATTGATATTAAAATTAATTGTAAAAACTAATAAGGTTACCGAATTTGTTCATGATTTTATTTACACAAATCTATTGTGTGGAACCCAGCATTTTTACTGTGTTGCTAAGCACTTCACTTAGATTAAGTTAAAGGTTATTTTCCTCAATATTTCAATGTTTTTAACCAGGGCTTTACATTAACTTTTTTGATCACCTGCCACTGTGGCTAGTAGATTTCCAAAAGTACTAGCCACTTGCCATTTTCACTAGCCAAAATTTTGTTGTTTGGAAAATATATTTTACATAAATAAATGTGACTTTGATATGCTAAAATGACTTGATTTAGATGTTGTGTTGTCCCAGATCAGCAGTTACTACACACAAATGGGGAGTTAATCTCGTATTAAAGAAATGTTATCGTAAAGGATGATAATTAAACTATTTTAACAAAAAAAAACTGCAAGCAAAAGAAAGCAGGTAAAAACATACCACGAGTGATGATGAAAGGATGATCACGTGCCTGAGAATGAAACGAAAGCAGTGACTGCTGCTGTTGCTTACAAAGATATATATATATATATATATATATATATATATATATATATATATATATATATATATATATATATATATATATATATATATATATATATATATATATATATATATATATATATATATATATATATATATATATATATATATATATATATATATATATATATATATATATATATATATATATATAATATATATATATATATATATATATATATATAATATATATATATATATATATATATATATGTGTGTGTGTGTGTGTGTGTGTGTGTGTGTGTGTGTATATATATATATATATATATATATATATATATATATATATATATATATATATATATATATATATATATATATAAATATATAAATATATATATACATACACACACACACACACACACACACGCACACACACAAATATATATATATTTATGTATGTATATATATTTGTATATATATATATATATATATATACAATTATATGTCTGTGTGTGTATATATGTGTGTATATATGTATATATATATATATACAT